CCACTCACCTCAGCCTCCCAAAGGCACAGGATTACAGGCTGAGCCACCGAGCCCGGCCGTAACCTAATTTTTAAAAGATAGTTCTAAAAGGCTTATAGGCCGAGTGTGGTGGCTCAAGCCTGTAATCCCAGCACTTTGGGAGACCGAAACGAGAGGATTGCCTGAGCCCAGGGGTTCGAGACCAGCCTGGGCAACTCGATGAGACCTCCTCTCTACAATATATCAAAAAATTAGCCTTTCCGGCTCAGTGGCTCAGCCTGTAATCCTATGCCTTTGGGAGGCTGAGGTGAGTGGATTGCCTGAGCCCTTGGGTTCGAGACCCAACTGGGCAACTTGGCGAGCTCTCATCTCTATAATAAATCAAAATTAGCCGGGCGTGGTAGTGCGCGCCTGTAGTTCCAGCTACTCGGAAGCCTGAAGCAGAAGGATCGCCGGAGCCCAGCAGGTCAAGGCTGCGGTGGCCGGTAGTGGCCACTGCACTCCAGTCTGGGCGACAGAGTGAGACTCTAACCCAAAAAAAAAGGCTTATTATGAGAATAGTAGTCACCTTCCTCATTCTTCCCGCCCCTGTTTCAGTTTGTTTGAAGCAAGTACATTCTGGCTTTGTTAGTATTTGCTTTCATATTTCTAAAGCCTTATCTGCTAGTTTATGAATTATACATTTTTGCCATTATTTATTGTGCTCCCATTATGGGAGATAAAGATTTAGCTCTTATATACCAGTATCACGACTTCTCCTTTGTCTGATTTTTCCTATAGTAGTTATGTCACAATTTTTATTCAATCAGTAGTCAATACCTATATTTTGTGGCACTATATGTATTATTCCACTACTGGGCAAAGTAGTAACTATGATTACTTTTTTCTTTCATGTACAACCTTTTTTTTTTTTCCTGGGGTTTGTTATTATTATTGTCTTTTATTGCTTGTTTTATTTTTTACTTAGTTTTTTTGTACCAATCACTGTTTTATACCCCAGTTGCTCCACTAGTTCTGTTAAGTACCTAACAATGTTTTATTTAAAATTCTTAAGTACATCAAATAGTCTATAAGTTTCACTGTTTTTCTGGAGACCTTTCTCACTCTTCCTCCATCCTGCCCCAGTCTGTCCTGGTTTTTCTCTGGGCCTGATGCAAAGCTGTCATCCTGGGACTTCCCTTCATAATTCTCCCATGCTGTATCCCTTCTTTCTTCATTTCTTGTTCTCCTTTATTGATGTTGATGTTTTTCCTCTGTTTTTGTTTTGTTTTTGTGGCAGAGTTTCACTCTGTTGCCCAGGCTAGAGTATAGTGGCATAATCTCAGCTCACTACAGCCTTGGACTCCTGGACTCAAGCAATCATCCTACCCCAGCCTCCCAAGTAGCTAGGACTACAGGCACACACCACCATGCCTGGCTAAGATTTTTCTTTCTTTTTTTTTTTTTTTGAGTTGCAGTCTCATTTTTTGTCGCCCAGGCTGGAGTGCAGTGGCACGCTCATGGCCACTGCAGCCTCGACCTACTGGACCTAGGCACCTGCTGGGCTTAGGCGATCCTTCCACCTCAGTCTTCCAAGTAGCTGAAACTAGAGACACACACCACCATGCATGGCTAGTTTTGTGATTTATTGTAGAGACAAGGTCTCACTAAGTTGCCCAGGCTGGTTTTGAACCCCTGGGCTCAGGCAATCCTCTCACCTCGGCCTCCCAAAGTGCTGGGATTATAGGTTGAGTGACTGCACCTGACCAAGGTTTTTTTTTCTTATAGAAATGGGGAGGGTCTCACTTTACTGCCCAGGCTGGTCTTGAACTCTTAACAGATCCTTATACCTTGACCTCCCAAAGTGCTGGTATTACAGGTGTGAATCACAGTGCCCAGCCTTTTTTCTTCTTTTTTTTCTGAAGTACTTCTTCTAATAGTTTTCTATAAAAGAGTGTGTGAGATAGCTATTTTGAGTCTTTCCATGTCTGAAAAATATTTTCATTTATTAGTTTAGCCCAAATTAACAGTTGGGTTAAATAGAGAATTCTAGACTGGAATATCTTTTTCTTCAAAATTTTGAAGGCATCTTTGCTATTGAGCAGTTTGATAACTTTGTGTGTAACCAAATTTTTCTTTCTGAAATACTTATCTTTTTTATATCTTCAGTGTTTTTAAATTTCATGATGCTGTGTGTTGACATGGGTCTTTTTTTTTTTTTTCCAGAAAGCAGATGTTTTTTAAGAATACAGAAAAGCTCCCAAGCAGGAGGGGACCCAAAAGAGGGTTGCCCCAACATGGGTCTTTTTAAATTCATTATGCTAAGCACTTAGTAGACCTTTTCTTTTTATTTTTTGAGTCGGAGTCTCTACTCTTTCACTCAGGCTGGAGTGCAGTGCACGCTCACGCCACCGCAACCTTGACTTGCTGGGCTCAAGCAATCCTTCTGCTTCAGCCTTCCAAGTAGCTGGAACTACAGGCATATGTTACCACGCCCAGCTAATTTTTTTTATTATAGAACTCATGGGCTTAGGCAGTCCTCTCACCTCCGCCTCCCAAAGTGCTGGGATTACAAATGTGAGGTATTGCACCAAGCTGGCATGCCCTTTTAATATGGAAGCTAGTGTTCTTTACTTCTAGATGTTCTTTCTCCTCTTGTTTTGGACATCTATCGGATGTTGGACTTTCTTGATCAAGTTTGCAAATTTTATTTACTGTTGTTTTTTTCCATCTTTTTTTAATTACTTCCTTTTACTTTTTCTGGGATATTTCCTTGTTTTTATCTTCCAACTCTTCTGTTGAATTTTTTATTTTGTTTATTACATTTTTTTAACTCAGAGTCTTACTCTGTTACCCATGCTGGAGTATAGTGGCATGCTCACAGCCATCACAGCCTTGACCTGCTAGGCTCAGGCGATCCTTCAGCCTCAACCTCCCAAGTAGCTGGAACTACAGGTGTGTGCCGTCACGCATGGCTAATTTTTTAATTTATTCTGGAGAGCAGGTTTCTCCATGTTGCCCAGGGTGGTCTCGAACCCATGGGCTCAGACAATCCTCTCACCTCGATCTCCCTCCCAAAGTGCTGGGATTACAGGCATGAGCCACCATGCTCAGCTTTACTTATTACATTTTTGAGTTCTCTTTTGGTTTCTGGTTGTTTCTTTGGAGCATCCTGTTTTTATTGTGTCATCACAGTGTCCTCGGTTGTCTCTCTGAGTATCTGTATTTTCCATCTGCTCCAAGCATAGTCTCTGTCTTCCTGGTCCTTTCCCCCCATCCCGCACCCCATTTTAGGTTCTTTCTTTCTTGTGGGAGGATTTTTTTTGTGTGTGGTGATCCTGGCTCTCTTTTTCTATTTAAGACTGAGGCACTGGCATGTTGCCTAGAGAATTCGTGCATGGGTAGGGCTTGCTGGCAGGTCGTTCTCACTGTAGAGAGATCGGGCTGTGGGCTAAACTTTTATATTAGAGACATTTCTAAATGTAATCATCTATAGGTTTTCCTCTGAAACTTTTCTGTTTTTCTGGAAAGGCATCCTCTAATTTTCCCCCTGGGGTAGAAGAGTTGGGTTTGGTTTGGGTAGAGGGTGCATAAAACTGGTTGCTGGAAATATGAAAGCAGGAATAGGGAAAGTGACTATTGAGTTTATAGACTTTATTTTTACTTATTTATTTATTTTTGAGTCAGAGTCTCACTCTGTCACCCACTCTGTGGCATGCTCACAGCCAACGCAACCTCAACCTGCTGGACTCAGGCAATCCTTCTGCCTCGGCCTTTCAAGTAGCTGGAACCGCAGGCATGTGCCACCATGCCTAGCTGATTTTTTTATTTATTGTAGAGAAGAGTTCTCACTGTGTTGCTCAGGCGGTCTCGAACCCCTGAGCTCAGGTAATCCTCTTGTCTCCGCCTTCCAAAGTGCTGGGATTATAGGCTGAGTCACTGAGCCCCGCCTAATACTAGTTTTATTCCCTTATTGTCATAAGGTTTTTGGAGGGAGAGGCGATAAACACATTTTTAACTGGAAGTCCCTCCAGTTTGTATTTCCAGATTTTTTTCCTCTATTTCTCTTCCATACTTTTAAATATTGTGTCAGTTAACTAGTGCCACAAAAATACTATTTAAAAAAACCACTCCAGAACTCAGTAGATTAAAATACAACAAATATTGAACTGGGCACGGTTACTCGCACCTGTAATCCTTGCACTTTGG